AGCTATAAAATGTCAAGAACTAACTCAAAATAGTGGGTGAATAACATGAAAAATCATGTGTAAAAATGAACCGAACACTATGCAATGTATAAAATGTAAAATATTGTAGTAAATCATTATAAATAAATGATTATGGTGTGTTGAATCTTCTTTAATTAATTATTACGTATTTTCTACACTCACATAATTTGTCAGCTCACTATATAATCAACTTAAATCAGTTAAACCCATCATGCAATGCATTTTCTTCCAATTTTTTGTGATAAAGTAATAGATAATTGACTAAATAAACATCTTCCAAAGTTTCAAGAAAAATTTCCACGTTTTTCTTACAATTTCCGTGGTTTTATTCATTTTTTATCGATATCGATAATATCTCGATATTTCCATCGAAATTTTGCATGTTTTTGGACTACCGATATTTCCAAAAGGGATTATTGTCGAATTGTCACCCGAACTTATACCTAACTTTCAGGTGACAAATTGCACAGGACCCTCGTCCCCCCTCTTCTCTCTTTCTCTCTGACCATATATAAACTTTTTTTATAATGATTTTTCCATTTTTAAAATACCCTTGAAAATGGAAAAGACTAAAATACCCTTAAAATGGATGGAAAATTGGATGGTGTTAAAGTTAGATGACAAATCATGGATTTTGAAAAATTAAGGTGACATTTCTCTTAAATTTTTCTTTAAGATGACAAATTGAAACTAAGGTATAAGTTCAGGTGATATGTCTACAAAAAACTCTTTCCGAAACCATCGATATTTTAGACCTTGGCCCTGGGGAAGAAAATTGCGCATTGCTAAAGTTGGGACATTCTATATAGGATTAAAGTTAACGTATAATTAATGTATTCTTCTTCTTCAAGAGGAACAGTTGAATGTACATCAACACTTCTGAAGTTCTGATGTCCTCCTTGTCCAACATTGAATTTTTGGGTTGGGAACTGGTGGAGTGTTTTGGAAATTAGGGCTTCAAACCGTATTGAATATTTTCCTTTTTCATTTTGCCGAGTTATTAGCAGTTTCCTTAACATGAATTCATATATATAGATAAAATACTTTTAATGCAATTCTGTTTGATACAGTTACATGTAATTTAAAAAATTCCTAATTAACATGCATGAGCATATGTGAAGGATGTTGGATTGGATTGAATTGGAATTGGATGATCGGTTTTCATAATGGAAAAAATAATAATGAAATATGCAACATTTATCGTCAAGTTTAATATAATCAAACACTTTAATAGATGTAAATGTAAAACATAAATGAAATGCAAGAGAAAATTATTTTGATTTATAATATATTAAACATAAATCCATCAAATTACTTAAAATATTCATAATTTTCTTAATGACAATTACCTAATGAGCAAAATAAGCATGAAACTAACTAGATTGGATTTGATCCTCACAAGAAAATCCATCATTTGATCCAATCATGTTGGTTTCGGAACATCCAATTCAATATGCCAAATCATCGAAATCGATTAAAATTAGATTGGATTGGATTGGATTGAATTGGATCAGTTGGTTTGAGTGGATTGGATTGGATCTTGTGCTACAAATCAAAGCCCTTTTCATTGGGCTAGACCCTGTTGGCTGTTCCACTAATAGTTTATTTCTCAATTTGCTATACCAGAAGAACTTTTAGGTACGTACATAATTACTATATGAATTTAGACCTATTAATATTGTACAAGACCTGTTAACAAGATATGAAATCGCATGAAAAAAAAAGTTTTCGCGTTAACTTTAGAGATATGTGCACATGTACTATTTGACTTTTAAATTTTGATTATTCACTACCTGGATTTTTAGGCATGTGTATTTTAGTCCATTTATATATTATGGCTCACAAATTGAAATCCCTCCCTACCCATACCTAATCAGCCATTCTAATGCAAAAATGGGAACCTAACAAAAACCCAATTCCCTTGCAAATCAATTTCTCTCCATACTAAACCCTAAATCATTATGAAATGCAATTATCATCGAGGTCAAATAAATTAGGAGTCTACTTAAGTTATGGAATCCTAGTGGCATAATAATACTCACAGTTTGATATGAACTCAAGTTCTAGGTGTTATAAGGATTGTAATGGGAAGCAAGCAGGCTTGCGCCTATATAAGTACCAAAGACAAAACCAATAGAGGTTCAAATTAATCTATGAATAATTAGTCTCCGTTTTCTATTGTTTTCTATGTTGTTTGGCTTTTCCTCTCTTTTTGGGTTTTGCTTACTCACCATTAAATAAAAGGTAGTGGCTATAGAAAAAAGAAAAAGAAAAAGAAAAAAGAAGAAGCTAGAACAAGATGAAATAATACTTATGGCATGTAGTATGTACGTAGAAAAGAAGAAATAATACTTACTCAGCATTAATATAATTATGACATGTAGAAGAAGAAAGAAATACAGAAATAAGATTCAGATTCAGAGAAAAGGTTTGCAAAGAAAAGTTTGAGTGTAGGAGTTCTGCATGGCCATACATCTCCAAACCCTTCCGCTGCGCAACAGTTGGATCATTGTATCATCTCTTATTTTCACATTTTGTAATATATTAACCTGGAAACTCCAATTTTTACCAAAACGTATACCATGGCTTCTTGCTCGTGCCTTCCTTTGCACTCGAGCTGCCTGCTTCGTCTTTCCTTAAGCTATCGCCTGCTTCGTCTTTCCTCAAGCCACAGCCTGTTTTGCCACATCTAACAAACTAGGCAGGTAATAGTGCCACGCCTTATTGACAATGCAATGTAACAATGTTAAATCCAACATCATAACACTACATTTTCAATAGGATTTCGGAAATATCAGTGGTCCAAAAACATGAATATATCAATGGAAAATCAGGTTGCATTGTTTAGAAAATTAAGCATTTGCATGATTTAATTTAGCCAATACCTCACCGTCAACTTGCTCCACATTTCATCTAATTTTCTATAGGATTAAAGTTAACGTGTAATGTATTCTTCAAGAGGAAACAGTTGATTGTACATCAACACTTCTGAAGTTCTGAAGTTCTGATGTCCTCCTTGTCCAACATTGATTGGGTTGGGAACTGGTGGAGTTTGGAAATTAGGGCTTCAAACCGTATTGAGTATTTTACATTTTCATTTTGCCGGGCTGGGAAAGCCCACTTTGCAATGCATGACCAAGTTATTAGCAGCTTCCTTAACATGAATTTATATATATATATATAATGCTTTTAATGCAACTCTATTTGATACAGTTTACATGTTATTTAAAAAAACCCTAATTAACATGCACGAGCATGCGAAGGATGCGAACATGAAAGTCCGTTGTTTCTCAAAGTCCACAAGGTTGGAAGAATCCCTACTTCATGTTTTTTTCTTTTTGGTCATTAAGATCCCCAGGTTAATTAATATTCTTTGGTGACACTACTAATCCCTAATATTCCTGGTATATAGATTAATTTCATACTGCCAGACAAAAGCACATCCCCAATTAATTAATTAATTAATTTTTTTTGAGCCTGTCAAAAAACACAAACAGGAACAGTGGAGAAAATAAGAATCTGTTAACTCAAGTCACTTGCAACGTTTTACTCATGTCTACCGTACTACTAACCATAATCATAAAATGTTAATACAAATTAATATGGAGAATTGGACAAGTAACATCAAACTCTTACGATATACCTCCACTCATAAGTTCTTAACCACAAAGGGCCAAAGAAATTCTGGAATAATTAAATACCAAAAGCCTACAAAACCCAACCAACCATACATTAGCAGTTGTATCTGATGTTGCCAAAGTTTTGTAACCCAACTTTTGTAGATTTATATGCGCTAATTTTATTATTACAAATGTTGTGACTGAAACCTTTGGGTTTGGGGAAGCCCTTGTTTCCTTGACGGCCACCTTGGCGTTGGCCTGCATTGCTCCAGTAGAAACCTATGTTGTGAAAGTTGATCATCCCAACATATGAGGCTCCATTGCGTGCTGTAATTGTATTTTTGCGAATATTGGCTTGGCTGGTGCTGCCGTCATCTTCTGTATTAGTTGTCTTCAAGTTGTATTCGATGTTGCTGAAGTTGTGATACGCTTTCCTATCTCCATCTCCTTTAATGTTATTGCCACGAATGTTGTAACCATCACCTTTGGGTTTGGTTCCTCCACCGCCACCTTGGCCTTGGGCGGAGCTCGAGCCACCTGCTGCTTTGCCATGATCTTTAGTACAAGTACTCTTGCAGTGATATTTGATGTTGCCAAAGTTTTCTAACCCAACTTTTGTGGATCTATCTGCACTATAGTGTTATTATTATAAATGTTGAGACAAATACCTTTGCGTTTGAGGAAGCCCTTATTTCCTTCACGTCCACCTTGACCGTGGCCGGCATTGCTCCCGTAGAAACCTATGTTGTGAAAGCTGAACATCCCAACATCTAACTCTCCATTGAGTGCGCTAATTGTATTACCACTAATGTTGTATTTGATGTTGCCCAAGTTGTGACCGTCACCTTCCAGTTTCGTTCCTCCACTGGAACCTTGGCCTTCCGCGGTGTTGCTCCAGTGGACATCAGAGGTGCGAGAGGGGAAGATCCCAACAGCATCAGCACCATTGGGATTGATGATTTCATTTCCAGGATATTTGCTGCTGCCGTCGTCTTCTTCCATTACTGGCTGGAGCTTAGGACTATGATGCTTTTTTTAACACGCAACATGTACACAACAGGGTAAATTTGTATCATAATTCTATTTCAATTCTACAAGATCAGAAACGATATACACATTTGAATTACAAACAAATTGTACAAAGCAGGAATCAGATTCAACAAGGACTCAAAGAAGTCAACTACAACTCAGCCAAAAAAAAAAAGCATATTTGGATTCAAAATGAACATGCCATCCTTGTTCTTTTAGGGCTCGTTTGGTACACAGGACTGTCTTGGCATGGACTATGCTTAGAGACTGTCTTGGCTTGGCTTGGCTTGGTCTAAGTTGGATAACACTTATCCTGCGTTTGGTGTACGCTTGGACTAGGACTAGATTTTTTTTATTTTTTCAAAACTATCTATGTATATGTATATATGTATATATGTATAAATACATATATTATGTATGTGTACTTATGTATTTTATAATATATGTGACATGTATGTGTATATACATATATATATGTATATTATAAATAATATAAACATATGTATGTATATATATATATGTACACATACATGTATATATATTATAAAATACATATATATATTATATTATAAAATACATATATATATATATATATGTATGTATTATACCCATGTGTATATGTATATTATATATATACATACATTATACACATA